TAAGTCAACATGCTAAGTATGGACAAGTGTCACGTGTCAGCCGATTTAGAGACACACTGGCAGAAGATCAGGTAGGTTACGTGGAAGTAAATTTGACCAAAACCTTGAATCGTTGACTATATAACATTTTTTTCTAATCGAATGTGATATATAAATTTGTTCATATTGTTATTTCGTTGACATCATTTTAGAACGCCAACACGACTATAAAATCGCACTATCAACGTGAGCGAGAGGAAGGGAGCATTCTGGGTAGAGGAGGAGTCAAAGGGCGTCTTGCGATGTTTGAGCAGGGGATATCTCACCCGAAGGTAATGTAATTGTATCATTGGCGACAATTGTACTGTATTGCAATGGGCTTTCTTGTGTATTGTTAGCAGATGTAGTTTCGTTATAAATTGATACTTCTCCCTCACCTCTATTCCGTATTTATTGATTAAAGAAAAAAATAGTTATTTTTAGTATTACAATATATACATATATTGGATTATGATTTATCGTAAAGATAGTGAAGGCAATGAAAGGGGATGGAAGAGATGTTACAGGGGGAAGATGTATGAGAGGAAGTGATGGCAAGTTGAATTTTAGTGAGAGAGATAGAAGTAAAGTCTGGAAAGAACATATGGAAAAAAATCATGAATGAGGAGAATGAGTGGGATCAGGATGTGGAGGCTGATCTGGTGGAAGGGCCAGTTGAAAGAATGAGTCGAGAAGAAGTAGTGAAGGCAATCAGAGACATGAAAACTAGAAAGGCTGCTGGACCCTCGGAAGTGAGCGCGGAGATGATTTTTGCAAGTGGAGACATAGGGATTGATGTGATAATGGAGTTATGCCAGAGAGTGTTAGATGGAAGAGGAATGCCTGAGGAGTGGGAGGCGAGTGTGGTAGTACCAATTTTTAAAGGAAAAGGGGATGCAAAGAGTTGTGGTGCGTATAGGGGTGTGAAACTATTAGAGCATGCAATGAAAATTGTGGAGAGCGTGATAGTGAATAGAATCCGGAAATTAGTGGAAGTGGATGAGATGCAGTTTGGTTTTATGCCAGGGAAAGGAACAATTGATGCAGTGTTTATTCTGAGGAGGATGCAAGAGGAATATCGTGCAAAAGGGAAGAAACTGTATATGTGTTTTGTGGATTTGGAGAAGGCCTTTGATAGAGTCCCGAGGAAGGTGATGGAGTGGGCAATGCGGAAGAGAGGTATACCAGAGGCAATGGTAAGAGCAGTGATGAGTTTGTATGAAGGAGCAAAGACAAGAGTTAGAGTAGGATCGGAGTTGTCAGAGGAGTTTGAGGTGAATGTGGGTGTGCATCAAGGCTCTGTACTATCACCATTGATATTTGTAGTTGTCATTGATGTAGTTACAGAGAGCGCAAGAGAAGGGCTGATGAGAGAGATGTTGTATGCTGATGACTTGGTCTTGATGGATGACACAATGGAGGGATTGAGGGAGAAGTTTGTGAAATGGAAAAAAAAGCATTTGAGAGTAAGGGTTTGAAGGTAAATCTGGGAAAGACAAAAGTGATGGTGAGTGGGACGGAGGAGAAAGCCTTGGTGAGTAAGGTTGACCCATGTGGCATGTGTGGAAAGAGGGTAAAGGCAAATTCAGTGCGGTGTGTGAAATGTGGGAAGTGGATACATAGGAGATTGGCAAGGGATTTTGCGTGTGGAAGATGTAAGAATGGCATTGGAAGGGTGGTGGAACAGGAAGAAAAGTTGTGTGATGAGGTTGAGTCAGTGAAGGAGTTTACATACCTGGGGGACAAGGTAAGTGTGGGTGGTGGGTGTGAGGCGGCTGTGACAGCTAGAGCAAGGTTTGCCTGGGTGAAGTTTAGGGAATGTGGAGAGCTACTATATGGAAAGAGATTTCCCTTGGAGATGAAAGGAATAGTTTATAAGAGTTGTGTGGGATCAGCATTGCTGTATGGGAGCGAGACATGGTGTTTGAGTGAAAATGAGCTGGGTATTTTAAGGAGGACGGAGAGAGCGATGGTGAGAGTGATGTGTGGGGTGAAGTTGATGGACAGAAAGTTAACTGAGGACTTGATGCAGATGTTGGGTTTGAAGGAAGCGGTAGATCGGTTGGCGAAGGCAAATGGGGTACGTTGGTATGGGCATGTGCTGAGGAGGGAGGATGGGCATGTATTAAGAAGGGCCTTTGATGTAGAGGTGAGTGGTCGAAGGAAAAGGGGAAGGCCAAAGAAGACGTGGAAGATGCAAGTGGAGGAGGAGAGTGGGAAGGTTGGGATGAGGATGAGGGATGCTTTAAATCGTGCAAAGTGGAGGGAGGGGGTAAGAGCGATTGCCACTAGTTTAAGGTGAATCCGGCCACCCTCGTCTTCGGGGACCAAAGATGGAATACACCATTACCACATAATGATATGGGGTGCACTGTTATTAGAAGATGTTATTGGAAGTTAGAATACACCATTACCAGATATTGATTTTGGGTGCTCTGTTATTAGAAGATGTCATTGGAAGTTAGAATACACCATTACTACATATTGATATAGGGTGCTCTGTTCGTAGAAGATGTCATTGGAAGTTAGAATACACCACTACCACATACTGATATGGGGTGCTCTGTTATTAGAAGATGTCATTGGAAGTTAGAATACACCATTACCACATACTGATATGGGGTGCTCTGTTCGTA